TGAATTACTTGCTAAATGAACTCAGAACTGACGCAATAATGTGATTTTCAGGCAAAATTTCACAATTTCATTGTGACAGACCGTGTGCCGTTTCCCTCTTCACCCCAAATGTAATCAATCAGCCAAGGCATGGCTGGTGTCTAATGAGGCTAAAGTAGGTCATATGTAAAAGTCTGTCTCACACAGTCTTTTCTGTAAATATCTCCCTCAAACAATATCCAGTTCCTCATGGATGTCTTCTTTTTCATGACTATATCCTGTTGTTAAAATCCTGCCAGCTGCCAAGACACTGTGTTTGAGTGACAGCTGATGCAGCAGGACTCATCTGAGTGGAGCTCAAGGTTTGGAATATTTTAACCTTGAGGAAGTATATGCGCGTGTGTGTGTGTGTCATGTGGGTGTGAACTGTTTGCTTTAGCATGTTTCACACATTAACATTAGGCTAGCAATCAATGGCTTGCCTTTCTCTTTCATTCTTTGTTTTGAATCCATTCTACAACGTCTATAAGGTCTGCAGAGCTTGTAAAGCTTAAGCCGATCGCTTGAGGACATTTCTGTTCAGATTGGTTAGAGGAAAGTGGGTGTTAACGAGACGTTTTCTCGCTGCCTGATTGGCTGATGCAGACCTAGTGAAAAGGAAACACATTCATGGATTGATGTAAACAAGTCTGCATGAGAAACGTTTCAGAAATCCACAAATAAATGCAGGAATTAAAAAAAAATATATTGGTGTGATTTAGTACAAATAAATTCAACCGATTCCACAAATAAATGAACATAAATATAATAAGGATAAATTAATAGCAGACATGTTTGTGCATTTTGTGAATGAATTTTTGTTTTGTGAAACACAAAAATATTACCTTTATTTTTGTGGATGTTATTTATTTGCAAATTATGCAACAAAAATGCCTCCACAGACTGCGCTTAAGACTTAGAGGGACGGCGTTCTGTGCCTTGGTGTTCTTAGCTTTCACCTTGTCCTTCATGAGCTGATGTTGGGACACATTGGTGGATGTTTTCTCACTGATCGAGTGCGACTGATGATGTGGATAATTATTCTGAGAAGAGCATGTGCTGACAGGAATTACAGGAGGAACAAACTCACCCATCTGCTTTTAAGGACAGTAGAGGTGAGGTGGATGAGAGGGCAGTGTGAGGGATGAGGAATAAGCTGACAGGAAGCTAAGCACCTCCTGTTTGAGCGCTCCAGCACACCAGCAGTTCAGAACAGCACACACTGGGCGGAAAGCTAAATTACTGGTTCAGAGGTAATGAGATGGCAGGAGTACAGCTTTGTCTTTCTTTTGTCCTTTGCATGAAATTAAAAAAAATGGGCCAAGTCTTAGTGAGGGTTTCTTTATGATTTGCTAACATCTGCTTTTTATGATGCAACGTAATTGTCATCTCATGTGTTTTTTTTTCCCCAATCTTCTATATATGGAATAATATTTTTAAAATAAACACCCTGAAGTGTTTTCTTCCTTTTATATGACAGCAGTTTGCCAATGATTACATTTTTAAAATTTATTAATGAATGAGACGTCTTACTTTTTCTCCATTTATGGTCACAATGAATGTTTTGGAGCATCCACGTATCAAGTTCCCGTTATCACTCATGTTATAGACAGTTGTTCTCTCACCAGCCTGTCTTTTATTCTTTCACTTGAAGTTAATATGACAAAAAAAGCTTATGTTAGCGAAAAAAGCATAAACTCCTCTGTCCTGATTAATTTCTGGAGTAAGAAAACGTAAAGCTTTTTTTCCCTGACTGTTACAAAGCACTGACACTGGAGACTCCTTCCATAAATGTTACATAAACGTCTCCTCACAGAAAATTTCACAATATCAATAATTACATGTCTTTTTAATCTGTTAATCTGGAGCGTCCACCATACAACTCCCTGTGTAAGTTGTATAAGCCTGTGTTTTGTCTTGTAGCTGGAACTACTATCAAAGCTGCTGTTGTGGGAAATTAATCAACAGTTTAGATCAGATTGGAGAATTGCTGTGGTATAAACAATACTCACATGCAGTGAATTTTGATATAAGGTCCTATTTAATACAAAGCCAGCCATGCTGGTTAAAGGTTTTTATACATACATACATATATACTTACATACATATAATAATAAGAGGAGGAACACACTCTTCACACACCCTCTTCCATACTTACAATGCATATACACACTCGTCCACCCAGGACCCTCACATCAGAAGTAACTTTTTATTGTCCACAAAGTGGAAATTTGTCTTTGGCTTCACTATACAGTATAAACAAGGACATCAAGACAACAGCCTAAAAAACAACAAAGCAAAAGTACATAAAACAGTATAAAAATCTAAACCACAAATATACCTTCTACTAATTATTACTAATTAATTACTATTAATCTGACTTTCATTTCTTTTTTCCACCCCTCTCCATACTTGCTCTATTTTCACAATTTTTTTTTTTTGCTACTATTTGCTACTATTGCACTTTTCTGCGTAACTGTTACAGTTTACAACTGCTACTGCTGTCCATAATCCTGCACTTTATTTCTACAGTAAATACTTTTATTTAATTTACTTGTCATATTTATTGCTGTTTGCATTTCTGGTCAGAGGCTGACTGCATTTCACTGTCTCTGTACGTGTACACTGTGCAGTGACGATAAAGCTGACTCTGTATGCACCAGGTAGATAAATGGGTGTCATTCTGAGAGTGAAATTTCATTTTGACATACAGATGTGACAAAATGACAACATTCTTCGAGCTGCTCTGACGAATCTCCCTGCCGCAAGTCAGGCATTTAATTAAAGAGTAAAGCAGTTGCAGAGGCTTGCTCACGGTTAATGTGTAGAGTGACAGCTGATGCAGCGGGGCTTGGAATATACTGACCTTGAGCTAGTGTATGTGTGTGTGTCATGTGATGTGAACACAAATGTTTGCTCTAACGTTTCTCACACACAGAGCCAGGTATCACCATTAGATTAGTCACTGTCTCTTCTTCTTTTGTCTTTCTGTCTCTGTCGGATGTTTCCAGTCCACTCTGTTATAATATCAAACCCGATTTGTTTTAGAAATGAGAAACATTTCCCCAGACTGCCTAATAAAGCACACTAGATGGATACCCAGATACCCGTTCTGTTTCTTAACTGACTGGAGGACGCTTTGACTATGAATCGAATCGAATTTATGCAGATGATGTAATCGGAGCAATCTGCAGTCCTCTGCCACAGCAGATAGAAAAGCAGGCAGGGTATGGTGGATTAACCTCAGCCTGTTTTTGTTTTTTTTTCTCTCTCCCTTTCTTTTTCTGAATGTTAAAGCCTGTGTGGAAATCTGATTAAACACCACCCTGGCAGAGATTGCTTTTATTAGTCAGGAAGAATAACAAACAGCTTGTTGTTTATACAGTTAAGTGCAAAAGTTTGCACTCCCTTTTTTGTGTTTAAAAAAAAACCTATAATTTATCTACAAAAGAGTGTACCATGTCAGTTTATGGGTATTTTCTTACCTTTTAAACATGGCTTAAATGTTAGAGGAATTAGTAGGATACCTGAAAAAGGTATTAATGTCTTAATATCCACTATTTGACCATTTTTGTTACTGAATTAAAAATGAAGGTATATCTGAGGAGCCTCACTGCTGAGGTCTGTTCAGCTAGAAAACTTTATAATTGACTGTACTACAGCGCTGAGGAATTCTCAAATCTGATTGGTCAGAAGGTATTGATTCATTTTCTGTAACAGCAGCTCTGACAATATTTCTGGCAGCTATTCAAATCGTTATATTAATGCACTCATTCTGATAACTTGTTAGCAGTTCTGTAGTAAGAACGTTCACAGGGACTTGTACGGAGGTCGCTCCACAAAATGTATGATTGTTGATATGGTGAAGTTTTCTGTAAGGAGACATTTATTTAACACTTATGGAAGGAGTCTCCAGTGTCAGTACTTTGTAACAGTCAGAGTTAAAGGTTTCCAACTCTTTAAATGTTACAGGTTCTCAGGAATGCATGTTTTCTTACTAATTTCAAGACAGAAAAACAAAACCACAGGGTGGTGAAGGGACAATTGTTCATAACTGTAAGTGATAAAAATAACTAACTTAGTAAAAAGTATGACGTCGTTCTTTATTAATAAGAAACTTGTAATTGAGGGTAGATTGCTGTGGTATAAGAGGAATAAAACACTTTGGGGTGTGCGATTATTAGAAAATAAATCAACTTCAGGGTGGTAAGAGTAACTCTGCTTCATGTCAGGATACATCACACCACCCCGTCATTGATTATATTCCTGTAACTGCACACACGGTGTCATGATTTATTCCTTAGCTATGATATGACAGAAATGTGTGTTGTATGTATTTCAGATAAAGCGAGCTTAAACAGAAAGGACAGAGCATTGGACGTGGTGGTAAATCTGTGATTTGAGGCACGTGGTTTTTTTTTTTTTTTGTTTTGTTTGCCTGGTTCTGGTTGTTCTGTGCTGTAGTGAGGATGCTGGAGATGCAGATGCTGCAGAATCGTCTGTCCACCCACCCAGTCAGCAGCGATGTACATACGCACTGTGTAGATCCGAGCAGCAATACTGCAAACACAGCACATCTCTGCATCTGCATCTGCTGCAGCCCAGAGATCAGACATTTCTCTCTCAGAGCCCCATTCCTGTCTGCTCAGGCGTTAATCCCTGCGTAGCACAATGATGACTACGTATCAGTGCAAAAGTTTGCACCCCTTTTGTTTTTACTGGGTGTAAAAATTTCAACAAATTTCAGCTGCATGGCAAAATTCTGTGTCAGTATTTGTCTTCATTATCAAGCACAAAAGTTTGCATCCATGTTCCATCCATCCATTCTCGGTACTTTTTATCCTGCAAGGTCGCAGGGTAAAATGGAGCCTATCCCAGGAGACTCGGGGCATACCTGGACAGTGTTCTAGCCCATCACAGCGCACAATCACACAGGGAAAACCCTGAAATAACGGAGAGAATGTGCAAACTCCATGCACACGGGGTAGAGGCGGGACTCGAACCCCCAACCCCTGGAGGTACGAGGCAACAGTGCTAACCACTAAGCCACCATGCCCTCTGCGTATGCATCCCTCTTGACACGCCTAATTAAATGTGCTCTATTATGGTATCTAGAGACTAAAAACATTAAACACATGCTCACTTTGTTAAATCTTATTCGAGGCATGAAAATTTCAAACAGGCTCAGACTCTCAAGGGTCTCTCACGTGACTGAAACAGAAAACACTGACCTTTTACAGAGCTGAAAAAAGCAGGGGGTAAAAATATATCAAAGTGTTTAGGGAGAACATCACCAACGATGAAAATTATCATTCAAAAAATGCCAGAAACGTAGACATGAAAAAAGGATGGGGGGAAAAGTAACAAAAATCCAAACACGAACAGCCTGGAAAAAGTGGAATAAAATTTCCCCAATTCTTTTATTGTTTCATTAATCTCTGTATAATATACACTTATTGACCGTTTTTGCCGCTTTTTGTAATGAAAGAACATTCTTAAAACCTAAAAAATATGCATCAAATATCTTGAAGTTTCATCATTTTGAATAAGGGGTATACAAACTTATAAACTCAGCTGATCCTACCACAATAAAGTTATGCTACTAGTACAGTTTCCTGTTACAGTTCATTGACTACCTAAGATATAATATGAACATAACATGTCAAAAGTTACAGTCAGCTCCCGAATTATTGGCACCCTTGTTCACTGGGGTTTAGATGAGGGGACTGGGGTGGCCATGTCAAAAACTTGATTCTGCAGTCATTCTACCATTTTTTTGTGTGGATTTGGACATACAGTGGGGTCCAAAAGTCTGAGACCACAGTGAAAATCTGGGATTTTTTTATTAATTTAAAACTGGAAACAAACAAAATTTTAGAATTTTGAAAATTCTAAAACAAAAAAAAAAAGCACAACGTCTTGACTGTTCAGTATTCAAGATGCTGCACTCATTTCTAGGTCACTATTTTTAATTTAAGCAAATTTGTGATATTGACCATGTTAACTACTTCGTACAAAAGGTCAGATTTTCCTCATATCTAATCTCTTTTATTGAAGCACGTGTTCAGACGACACTCTGATGGATTTGATCTAAAATGGATCACAAGGTTTTGTAGAAAACTTGTGGTGTCTGTGCCAGCTCGAGTGCACAGTCATTAAAGCTAAAACGGGATGTACCAAATACTAAAAAACTCAGAAATTCATGTAAATATTTCAAAGATTCTACTTTTCACTCAAGATGTTGCCAATAATATAAATTGTAATGAAAATTCTTGTATTAAATTAGAAAAGAACCCCACTGTACTGTATGTTTCGGATCATTGTGCTTCTAGAAAATCCAACCCCAGTGCAGTTGTATGTTTTTGGGGAAAAGCAGCCAGGTTTTCACTTTAAATCTCCTGATACTTCATGGTATCCATAATGCCATGTGTCCTAACAAGGTTTTCAGAGCCTTTGGAGGAAAAGAAGCCTCACAACATCACAGATTCTCCACTGTACATCACAATAGGGATTAGGTTCATTTCTGTATAATCATCCTTCTTTTTTACACCAGACTCACCCTAAGTGCTGCCAAAAACATCTATTTTTGGTCTTTATGACCACAGTTCCAGTCAAAGTTCCAGTATTTTTTTCCTTAGAATGCATTTACTTCAATGAAAGGTTAGATTGGTGCAGATTTTCAGTGTGAGCTTAAGCAACAAAGACACTTTCTCATAACCAGTTTTGCTCATCTTTGCCAAGGGTGCCAACAATTCTGGAGCTGACTGTATATAGCTATTTACTACAAGCATTTTACTTTTCCTGTTTACAGAACTTTATGTTCACAATCAAAGGTCTTTTTTCATTTCTCAGAAATAGAAATTGCTTGAGATTGCAGTGCCTTCTGGGTATTATTAAGCTGAACAGCACAAATGAATGGAGGAAATAATGAATGGAGGAAATAATATCAACCAGCTGCTTTACAGACCACACTTTAATACGCCGTTTATAATGCCGAGGAAATTTATAACATATTTGGTAAGAGACGGTTGCTATGACTGAGCTGGATTCTTGAAGTCTGTTTAAACTGTATTACAGAGACACATATGTCCGATGTTTCTTCCTCTCTCAGTTGTGCCTGGAAAATGAAAATAGGTTTGCAGTGTTCATTTAATACAGAGCTTCTACATTGATCAGACAGCTTAATAAACACAACTGCTAATGATCAAAAGTGTCAATAAGCCAGTTGTAACTGAGCCCCTAGCATGAACTGAATCTTTCTTCCACCTACATATGCAGACAGGTGACAAATTAAAGGAAAAAAATAACCAAGTTAGTGTGTTAGTAAGGTTTTGGGCCAGAAGAGCTTCAATGCATTGATTCTGCAAGTCTCTGGAACTGTACTGGATTGGTGAACACTCTTGTGACCTGTGGACGGGGGCGGAGCCATCCTGGAAGAGACCACGCCCATCAGGACGGGAATGTTTCATCATAGGATAAAGCTGATCGGTCTGAAGAACTGTGCATTGATTTGCAGTGATTCTTCTATCTGAGGGGATAAGTGGAGCCAAGTCATGCCAGTAAAATAAATAAATACCCCCCCACAGTAGGACAGAGTCCGCAGATTTTCCTTTAATTCGTCACTCGTCTGTATATACCCATTTGGTGATATAATACACATTTCTGAGATATTGCCGGCATCATCTTTTTAACACACTGACTTAGCTAGTTATTAAAGTGTTTTGTTCATATTATACCACAGCAATTTACCAGTTCTAGCAATTTATTATTTATTAAGAACCTATTATACTTTTTCCCTATTTATAGTTAATCTGAAGTTACCAGCGAGAACAAGTTAGTTCCTGTCATAGACTGATGTTATAACAAAACAGTTCCCTCTCTAGCATCTCTTTTTTTTTTTCTCTCTCTTGAAGTAAAAAAGACAAAGAATTGCTGCTTGTCGTGTTACCGAGAAACTGCAAAGCCGTCTGTCTTACAGACTTTCCTGTGTACAAAGCTGTGACACTGGAGACTCCTTCCAAAAATACTAACTGTCGCCTCACAGAAAACTTCACCATATCAACGATTACAGATATTTTTTTCTCTGTTTATGTGAAGCGGCCACCACACACGTCCCTGTGTTAGTTTTTTTACAGAAATGATAAAGTAGTAGAAAGTGTGACCAATCAGAATCAGTTGCTCTGTTAGAAATAAAAAAAAAAAAAATTAAGCCAGTTTTTTTTTACAGTGGCGTGGTCATTGTATTATCATGATGCATATTGTGTATGATAAAAATGTCTGTAAATATCGTGATATGATATTTATGACATTGCATGTTTACAGATTTTTTAAATTCGATTTATTGCTATTGCTGGCTCGTTAATCTAACCAGCATTCTGTTGTATCAGTGTCATTTTACACAGTTGTACAGTACTGACGTTCAGGTAAGGGTTAAATAAGGACGTCATATTGGTGTTCAGCTGCTCCCATTCAGCAGATGTGTGAGAAACAGGAGGAGGAGCAGAGGGAGGACTGAGAGCTCTGAATGCACTCAGGCCTAGTCCGTGTGGGCCGGAGAGCAGACAATAAGGCCAGTAGAAAATGCACAAGATGGTCTAGCGCTGGGGGCTGCTGTCTGAGTAATCTTTTGAGCTGCCTTTAAATGTGTTTGTGTGTGTGTGTGTGTGTGTGTGTGTGTGTGTGTGTGTGTGTGCGCGCACGCACACGTGTGAGGGAGAGAGCTGGCTGCATTGTTCTTCTGTGATTTGGCTCACAAACTAAGGAGGAGAAATGTGTTTGTGTGTGTGTGTGTGTGTGTGTGTGTGTGTGTGTCTCTCTCTCTCTCTCTGCAAAGGACAGCTGGCTTGAAAATGAACTCTTCCTTTATCATACGAGTAGCAGACACACACACACACAGACACACAGACAGGTGCTCTCTCTCTCTCTCTCTCTCTCTCTCTCTCTCTCATGCGCTCTCTCATACACAGCTCCCTCTCCACACCAGCAGGACTTGCAGGAAGGAACTGAGAGGGATTTTGGGAAGTGCCATTTTAAGGTTTCTTCCTATTTCCCCATTTTTTTTTTCTAGTAGTGCGCTCTGACCACTGGCATTTAATCAGACAGACAGATAGATGATAAGAAAAAGAGAGGGAGGGAGAGGGAAAGAGCCGCTATGCTGCAGTGGAAGCGTCGACTCATTGCTCTGCCGTCTAAAAACGCATTAATGAAGAGATCACACATTTTCTCATACTGTAACAGAGGAGGACATAGCCACGCCTGTTAGCCAGGAGGAACTAAGACTGAGTCATGCTAAGACCACAAGGGGTGTGTGTCTGTCTGTGTGTGTGTGTGTGTGTGTGTGTGTGTGTGTGTGTGTGTGTGTTCTCTTTCGTCACTGCTTTGCCATCTCTGTCCACTCTGGATTCATCCCTGGTCCAACATGGCCGCTTTTAATACACCCAAGATGTGTTCACACCCTCCCTGTGTTGATCCTGACCGCATTTTAATCCCGACTTGTAGGCGTGTTTGTAGCTCTGGCTTAAAGTTTGTATACACCTCTCAACTGTCTGTAGACTGTTTGGTTTTACGTTTCAGATTTATGGCAGTGTTTATGGAGTCATTGTTTTCCTTTTGTATTAGCTCTCCATTAAAAGCCCAGCTGTTCTCCTTTAGGGATTCTGGGCCGAGCTGCAGTGAAATGTGAGTCTTGCTCAGTGTTTAAAGTCAGTAACTGCTGCTTCTCAGGGTTAGCGTGATTTAGAGTATGTGTGTGAGGAATATGTGTGGAATACTTTTGGATTATGCGATTAATATGCGAGGAATATGTGTGAAATACTTCTGGATTATGTGATGAATATGTGAGGAATGTGTATGGAATATGTAAGGAATACTTTTATATCAGGTGTGTAATATGTAAGGTATAAGTGTGGAATATAAGCCTTACGTAATCCAGAAGTATTCCACACGTATTCCACACGTACATTGTAAGGAATATGTAAGGAATATCTGTGGATTATGTGCAGAATATATATAGAACTTCTAAGGAATGCTTATGGCATATGTGTGGAGTACTTTTGG